TTGGACGGACAGCACCATAGTACTGCAGTATGTGAAGAATGAGGAGCGACGGTTTCTTACATTCGTGGCAAATAGAGTTGCAGTTATCCACAGCGGGTCATCACCAAGTCAACGGTATCATGTTGAATCTAGGCTTAATCCTGCCGATGATGTTACAAGAGGACAAACAGCTAAGGAGCTGCTTGCTGAGCGATGGCTCAATGGACCCGACTTCCTTTGCCTGGAAGATAGTGAATAGCCAAAATCACCAAGCCTGAGAGATCTTGCAGATGAAGATCCAGAGATAAAGCCAGACAAGGAGGTGGTTACTGTATGTGTTGTAGACGATGTGGTAGACAGGTTGTTGAAGAGGCATTCCTGTTGTGGCATGATTGTTGCGGGTGAAAAACTACTTGCGAGCCAAGGCAAAGAACAACAGTAGACATGCCGATGCTCCTGACCGTAGATGAGATGACGAGAGCAGAGGATGATATCATATTATATATCCAGAGACAGTCCTTTTGTGAAGAATTGAAGTTCCTCCAGAAGGACAAGGTAGATTCCAAAAGGTCAAAGGACTACATCAAGAAGACAAGTCCTCTTTACAAGCTTGACCCAGTGTTGTCTGCTGATGGTATCATTGGGATTGGTGGTCGTCTGAAGAACGCTCTAGTAGACGAGGGCGTGAAACGTCCGACCAGCACCCCCTGGCAAAAGTTTGTTCCAGCGGCAGTGCTACACAAGTCATGTGAGGGCAAAAGGAATTGTGGGGGGAAAAGAGATCGGTCAATGTGTGGCATGCATTCACGTACGAGTGGTCCAGTTTCGTAGAGTGAAAAGGTGTTTTTTTTTCTTCTCTGGATATAATTTGATTAGTATCCGTTCCCTGCTGCTTGGACACGAGGCTTTGGGTCTCACCACACATCAACTTCATAATTTGATGCAGATGGATGGTGTGCCTCGTCCTACACGATGAGAACCGTTGGAGCAGTACAAAGGAGGCTACATCAACTGATGAAGTTGATGACTTGTCTGTGATCCACAGCCTCATGTCAAAGCAGGAGAAAACGGATACTCGTGTCATCCTTTACCTGATCGATACGCGGTTGAGGCTGGAATGCCGATGTTCATACACCAGACACAAACATTGTCTTCATCCACAGTTTACATTATCTACAGCAACTAATCAAAATATATTCAGAGAAAAAAACACCTTTTCACTCTACGAAACTGGGCCACTCAATCGTGAATTCATGCCACACAATGACCGATCTCTTCTTTCCACAATTCCTTCTGTCCCCACATGACTTGTGTGGGCGAGAAGAGGAGGGTGGTCGATGTCACTGGTGTAGAACTACTGTCCTGCACTGATGATCATCTACCTTTCACGGGGAGGACTGAAAGTCGTCCCATACCGCAGAAATTCCCCAAATATCAAGATGCTTTTAGGCATCAGGGAGTTTGTGGAGTGGAAGCTGATGAGGCAGGAGATTTATGAGTTGTTGGAGGAATTCACCTGCTTGCTACAGTCATGCTCGCCTCACTCATGATGACGAGATGAGGCGAGGACAGTGATGCTCAAGAAGATGGTTCGGGATGAGGAGAACCTGAACAGCAATTCTGTCTACCCTGCAAAGACTCTCTCATCCCTCATAATCAACCGAGTAAGCTACAGGGTGTATCAATTGAAGCGGTACCACGTCCAAATTTACGACCTAGCTCCCAAAACCAGAGGATGGACATGGCTGGGTGAAGACCGATGGCACTCTCGAACCACTTTGGTCACTCTGTCCAAAACTTCCTCCTTCACTGCACTCGTACAGTTACTTTTGAAGCAGATTTTGTGGTAGCTGTGAATCGACCTCGCCATTGCACGCTGGAAATACCAACACCAAGTACACGATATAAACCCATTACATGCTAATTGCGGTATCGAATCAGGGTACAGGAAGAAAGTTTCCCATTCAGGGCTTACTATTGGAAACGATGTTGAAAATAAGGTAAGCCCTGGGGACGAGGTTGTGCTTGCGTCAGTTGTTCTTTGCACTTGACTCAGGTATATATCTGTGACGTCAAAACTCACGAGATTGTCACTTTTCCTCTAGGGCTACGTACCAGCAAAAAAGTTTCACTCAAATTGCTGATGAAACTATATACGGATACTACGGATATTGTTTTGGGGCAACCTTCAAAAATCCATTAACTCGAGTTTAATGAATTTGTGGGGAAAAGGCTCGAAAAGCTCTTGAACTTAGCGAACTCCTTCAACAAAATGAACGTCAAAGTACGAACCTTGGGTGAAGGATGGGATTGATTTTTTTGGGGGCTAAGTGCTGGCAGTGTTTGTTTGTTTGTTTGTTTGTTGGTGTGTTTATTTGTTTTTCAGCTTCGTTGACACGGTTGAGGAGGAACCGAAGACACATTGTAGTAACTCTAGAATTCAGGCCGTTCCTACGCACATCTCTCGAAAGCGAAGCGTGAGACCGACCGTTGTTCATTTTTATATAACGCCTATCGGTACTGTGCACTTTAAAAAACCCTGCCAGCAGGTCAGATTTGAGCCGGACGGCGGGTCACATTTCACCTGGTACTTTTCAGGGTCAAAATAACATTTTCCCGATCTTTGTCCAGTCAGGTCCCCCCGAAAACCTTCGGGATGAGAGCCACTTTTTCTATACATTTGGGGGAAATGACCAGCGGAGACTTCATGGGGAATATTCAGTGTTGGAGGTCTCGAGGCCGGCCTCGGCCTCGAGGCCGGCCTCGGCCTCGAGGCCGGCCTCGAGGCCGATTTTCATGGCCTCGGCCTCGGCCTTGGCCTCGGAGGTGCAAGGCCTCGGCCTTGGCCTTGGCCTCGGAGCCTTCCGGCCTCGGCGAATCGGTCGATTCGGCCCATTTTGATGTGTTTTCTATTCTAATTTATTTGTAATTTTTTACCGTATCAAACCCTCGAGATTCTGCCGCAGTGGGTTCCGTGAAACGAACGCATATTATGTACGCACGAATGAACTGGAAATGGTTGCATTGAACGTACTCACGTACGTAGCATCTTCGCCTAGCCTGCGCTTCAGCTTTCCACGTGCGTGCAAGCGTTATAACTGTTACCGCGTGCCAGACTACATAAGTCTGGCACCGATCCCATTTGCGTACAATAACATGTGGTAGTAGACTAGTCTGGTTGCAGTGTTGTACACAATTTTCTCGTTTCGCCTCTGTACCCCGACCTTTAAAAATGATTTGCGGCAAGGTGCGGCAAGCTTTATCATTTCTTTTTATAGGCCCTGTTTCAGTAAAAGTCTGAACTTTCTGGGTACGATCGAGTGTACTAGTCCGTACCATTTTCCCCCATAAAGATATGATAAAAACAATTACGATTTATCAAGTAGATTTTATTTTTACACGGTGATTTAAATGAAAGTTCCGGCTCACACGGTAATGTTTGGCGCAAATGGTCGATATGGAAAGCGCGATTTCAGAATTCGTTTTTCCATCCAAATGAATGCAAAGTTCTGAATGAATGTTTTAATAATAGGAGTCAGTATTCCTCGTGGTACCAGGTTACTTTTTGTATTTTTAGAGCCATATGTTGATACTTCTTACATGTATAAGCACGGTTTGAAATTGCCTAATTTTGCGTGGTTGCAGATATATGGCCAAAACCTCTGGACTCCCTACCTCTTGCCATGATCTTAAAATTCTTCAAAGCCATTGGATTCAAATCGGATGATCCGAGAATTGGTCATTTTGATGAACTGAGTGATATCATGCACGCATTTTCCATGTTGCCGTGTTGTTTGGAGCGGGATTGGCCGCGGTATTAACAGTGATAATGCGTGGACACTTATCCCGTTGTGTGGAGCGGGATTGGAACTATGCTTTGCCCGTGCGTAACGACAGGCCGTCTGGCATTGTCTGGTCGCATCGCGGTGTTTGTTCGGCGCGCGCCTGGACAGTGCGAAGGTTGGGGGGGGGGTCGTAACTTTTTGGTTATGAGTGGTAAAAACCTGATTCAAAAATTCAAGTTGTTGTTTATTTAATGGGGATTCCTATGATATTAAGCATTTTGATAGGTTTTGAAAATGATTTATAAAACATGCTAAAAGTAAATGATGTAAATCTTATAGAATAGAAACTCAAAATTTGGCCATTTAAATTGTTGTATCTCCAAAAGGCAAACACCTATGAGCCTGATTCAAACGCCATTGATTTTGTTGTGTAATTTGCTTTCAGTGATACAAAACTTGAGATTTCTTTCTTTAAAAAATAAAATTCGCCGGACTCCCTACAAGAGGAAACCCATTGCAAGCTGTAAATTTGTAAGCCAGGCACTCCAAAACTCAGTGAATTCAACTAAAAAGATTTTAAAACTCCAACATAATCTTAGCCTTGTTTTAGTGATATATATTTTATTACGTGTTTTGATAGCTGGCCTCGGCCTCGGCCTTGGCCTCGGAGGTGGTGGCCTCGGCCTTGGCCTCGCGGTTGTGGCCTCGGCCTCGGCCTCGGCCTTGGCCTCGGAGGTTGTGGCCTCGGCCTTGGCCTCGGGTTGTGGCCTCGACTTCAACACTGGAAATATTACTGCCTTACCTTACCGTTCAGAGTAACACAAAATTCGTCTGGGTCTACTTTGTTGATTTTTCATCATCAGCTCTAAATGCATTTCAGCATTGGCCTACGGATGCAATCAATTTGAAGCCCCATTAGCCCCTAGGCCTATTCATTATTTAATTAAAAGAAACAGTACAAGTGTACCTATAAGTATAGTTTTACGATTAAGTGGTCTCTTCACGTTTATTAACTTATAACGTTTGAAGTATTCGAATGTAATTGTGAAGCCCATAATTCTGAAGTGTTTATTGATGCTGGTAGGGTAACAAGGACGTTTGCATTGGGCACCAAGAAGCGCTTTCTGGGGCTGCATGAGACGGTGTGAGGGCTTCTGTTTGTCTCCCGTTGTACAAAAAACGGGGGTTTGGGCGCATGGACAAGCCCAAACGCAGTCTATAAATCGCCCACAAAATGACCCAAATTCGTCATTCCTACGACTCAACAGCTGCAGAATGATGCTGAAGATTGTCGTGCTTGCCGTGCTGGCCTACACGGCTTACTCCAAGCCAGGGGTACGTATAGACTCTTCATTCAGTGCATCTTTGCAAGATAATTTTCGAACATTGCCGATTATTGTGTCGATATTTATTTTACTAACATCCAGGTTACTTCATAATACCTCGTTTATTATGTCTTTTTTTGGATACAGCTTTTTGCACAACTTTTTAAATTACAGCTGAATGTTATCCTGTCAGACAAATGGTTTTCAAAAACCTGTACCAACCTGAATAATGTTAAGATTGCTCTCCCTGTACATCCAAATAGACCAATCAGCAGCTTAGTCCACGCATGTTTACGTTACATACCAAGTGTGGACATTCCCTTGGTTTCGTAGTTAAGAAAAACCATGCAGTCAAAAAAAACTCATTTTTCTCAAACTGTGAAAACTCAACCCATTTCCCCCCCTATGATCCCCTTTAGTGTTTCTCTTCATTTTGCCACCTGTAAACCTAACCCAAAAATGCCTCTATAAACCTGTTTTCCTAAAATGGGGAAACACTGTGTTGTCTCCTCTGCCACACCAAGGGCGGATCCAGAACACAATTTGGGGGGGGGGGGCCCAAAAAAATTTGCTCCCCCCAAAAAGTGGGTCAAAAAAATTACGGCGTGGGTTTTTTTTGAGGAAAAGATGGTGGTGTACTCATTGCCTGCCTTTATTGCGATGTCACATACAAAACAAAAATTGGTTTCGTTTGGGGGGGGGGGAGGCATGGCCCCCTTTTGCCCCCCCCCCCGGATCCGCCCTTGTGCCACACACGTAAACACCGGCAATCGTGGACGTCCCATTGTTCCTAATCCTCTTTCCTTTGTTTGTTATCTAACTTTTTAGCAACAGCTCTCATTGGTTTTGTGTGGACGTATTGTTTGTGCCCCAACTCTTTTGTCCTACGTCCACGATTGCCGGTGTTTTCACACGCACACCCACACACCCTAATTATTGTCGTTAGCTTTATTCATGATATTTCAGTTAACCTTTATCTGTCATTCCTGTGCATACTCATCCACTTCGTTATAATTCATCCCTGTTTATCCTTTGCAACTAACACTGAGCTGTGCTTTGCGGGGCATTTTGCCACTAATCGACCCGCGCATTGCTGTTGTTTTTGTGCGGGGCGGCTCCCCTAATAAAAGCTCAGTGTCGCTTGGACTCACTTCCCTTCTATTGCAGGGAACACTTGGCCGGCCGTGAAATAATATTTACATCTAAACATTAGAAAACATTCATTATCTTTTAGGGGATCGTGACATAGATTTTACTCTAAAATATATTCTGCACTTGCTACTCCTGCTAAATGTAAACCTTACATCTGACCTCCCTTTCGGGTTAATGTTATTATGTAACGTGCACTTTCGGAACTATTTGGCATTTGCCAGTTTTTCTTTTTCTCATGACAATTTCGCGCGTTGTTGCTGTGATGTTATTTCATGAAGGCACTGTAGTAATTAAGATTTTCTGTACTATTTATGAACCACACTTCATGATGTGCTTCCTGACCCTTTTCTGCCTAGCATATTGCCATATTACGGAGCTTTTAAAGGGACATAGATGAAAAAAAAAATTGAAAACATCTTCGTTAGAAAGAAAAAAAATCTGCGTTCGAACGAAAAAAAATCTGCGTTCGAACGAAAAAAATCTGCGTTCGAACGAAAAAAATCTGCGTTCGAACGAAAAAAATCTGCGTTCGAACGAAAAAAATCTGCGTTCGAACGAAAAAAATCTGCGTTCGAACGAAAAAAATCTGCGTTCGAACGAAAAAAATCTGCGTTCGAACGAAAAAAATCTGCGTTCGAACGAAAAAAATCTGCGTTCGAACGAAAAAAATCTGCGTTCGAACGAAAAAAATCTGCGTTCGAACGAAAAAAAATCTGCGTTCGAACGAAACAAATCTGCGTTCGAACGAAAAAAATCTGCGTTCGAACGAAAAAAAATCTGCGTTCGAACGAAAAAAATCTGCGTTCGAACGAAAAAAATCTGCGTTCGAACGAAAAAAATCTGCGTTCGAACGAAAAAAATCTGCGTTCGAACGAAAAAAATCTGCGTTCGAACGAAAAAATCTGCGTTCGAACGAAAAAAATCTGCGTTCGAACGAAAAAAATCTGCGTTCGAACGAAAAAATCTGCGTTCGAACGAAAAAAATCTGCGTTCGAACGAAAAAAATCTGCGTTCGAACGAAACAAATCTGCGTTCGAACGAAAAAAATCTGCGTTCGAACGAAAAAAATCTGCGTTCGAACGAAAAAAATCTGCGTTCGCGTTCGAACGAAAAAAATCTGCGTTCGAACGAAAAAGCTGTTTGCTGTTTGCTGTAAGCTGTTTGCCCTCCCTGTGCTGCCCCACCACTTATGTGGGTGATTTTTGTGGGTCAAAACATTCTTTGCCCTGAAAACTGTTGTACCAAACATGTAAAACGTATCAGTCATGATGTGACTCATATCATGCTCTTGTAAGTGCAACAGTTTCTCCACATTTAACTGGTTATCCATGGGCCACCAAAAAACATGTCGGGCTAGCCATGGCTATCAGAATAGCCCGACATGTTTGTCGATTGCTATGAGTATGAGTAGGAATCAGCTAATTAGTGAATCCCGTATCTGAAAGTTAGGAAGCAGAAAGTACATGTACATGTACAAGTGTTAGACTAGTAAAATAGGCTTATTGAAAGCCAGAAATGATCAAACAATATATACATGTCAGTCGCTTCTAAAGTTTGGAACTATTACAAGGGTTAGGAATGAAAATTTATACTGTAAAGGATTTGTGGATAGACAAATTTCTGAAAATCACAATGACGACCAGTTATATTTTTTTACCTGAAAAATTTGAAAGATAATTATATAGCCTTTTTTAATTATTTTTTAAAAACTTGCCTCACTTTATAAAAAGAAACCAAAAAGGCAAATTACTTTTAAAAATGTCTCATAAGTGTGTTGCCTCAGCATAGCATAATGGGTGGGACTGATGGAGTGGGGGGGGGGGGGGTTGTGTTGTAGCTAGTATTGTAACAGGATAGGGACTCTTAAAAAAAGAAGGACAATTAGCTAGATCTTCATTGCAATGGTTAAACTTCATGACCAACTAACAGCAAGCCCTAGTAAGACCGTTTGAAAGCTCATAGACTGCTTTAAGACCAGTTATTGAAATTCCTGTACTTGGGCCACGGACCTACATTAGGCACATATGTCATGCATGTAGGACCTGAAAAAACATGACCAAATCACCCACATAAGTGGTGGGGCAGCACAGGGAGGGCAAACAGCTTACAGCAAACAGCAAACAGCTTTTTCGTTCGAACGCAGATTTTTTTCGTTCGAACGCAGATTTTTTTTCGTTCGAACGCAGATTTTTTTCGTTCGAACGCAGATTTTTTTTCGTTCGAACGCAGATTTGTTTCGTTCGAACGCAGATTTTTTTCGTTCGAACGCAGATTTTTTTCGTTCGAACGCAGATTTTTTTTCGTTCGAACGCAGATTTTTTTCGTTCGAACGCAGATTTTTTTCTTTCGAACGCAGATTTTTTTCGTTCGAACGCAGATTTTTTTCGTTCGAACGCAGATTTTTTTCGTTCGAACGCAGATTTTTTTCGTTCGAACGCAGATTTTTTTTCGTTCGAACGCAGATTTTTTTCATTCTTACGATGATTTTTTCAATTTTTTTTTTTCACCTATGTCCCTTTAAAAGCTCCGTACCATATACCTGTATCATAACAACAAACTATTAAATAGCAATACCGCTAAAACAGCCAAATGTCCAGGATTCTGGTCCCGCATTGTGCTGAACTATTTGTGACATTAAGGTATGTGTTTGAGATGGCATCACACTTGTGCCCTTACATTTGGAGTTTCTTGATATGGCAGAACAACCTTGAGATTGAAAACAAGGGTAAAAGGGGCACCTATTACCTTGTTTAAAATTTCCGATGTTTTCCTGCTGTATTGTCTTTGTCATTATATCTTTACAATCACAGAAAAGTGTGTTGCATTAATGTTTTACCTATTGCCTGTGTAATGTCTGGTTGTAGGCCATCAAGTTTTCTCTAGATTTTGTGCTTTAAACCAATACGGCTCATTCATATTATTGAGTAAAATATTTATCCTGCAGATTGACGGGATGGGCGAAAACCCCGTAAAAAAACTTTTTGAGGAAAAAAACACGGGGAAATTCCCAATCCGGCTCCACAAGTGGCAACCAAGTTTATAACTCCGTAGATCGGCGTGTTTTGAACTTATTTATTAATTGCTTCAATTGTTCTGACTCATGGCTTTATTAAGTTCTGGTTCTGATAATATCCTAGTGCTAAATTGTAATCTTTGCGCCACTAACTACCAACCTTTCTCGTAACATTCCTTTATTTCCAATATTTTGGAACGTTCATCTCTAGTTAAGTTGAGCTTTAAGCTTTAAATATGTAGACGATCTGACACTTGCAGAGGTCCGTCATGCTAATAAATCTAGCCAGATTGGATTTGATCTTGAAGGCCTGGATGCGTGGACGAAGGACAGCCACCTCAGGCTCAATCCTACCAAATGCAAAGTTATGCAAGTTTGCTTCAAAAAAGACCCTCCAACACCACCTTGTCTTAAAATTGGTGGGATTGAGCTTGGGGTGGTGTCCGAGACTAGGCTTTTGGGCCTGATAGTCCAATCTAATCTTGGCTGGCAATCTCAGGTTATGATATGGTCTCAAAAAGTAGTCGTAGGTTATACGTGCTTGGCCGCCTGAAAGAGTTTGGTTTGCCTATCGACGACTTGGTCTCTGTGTATACTTGTTATGTCCGTCCAATTTGTGAGCATGCAGCCCCAGTTTGGCATGGTAACATCAGAAATAATCAGACATATCAACTTGAACGCATTCAAAAGCGTGCGTGTCGTATTATTCTTGGAGCTGACTATGAGTCATACTCAATCGCTTGTGATCGGTTAGGCCTTCAAACTCTGGAGGACAGAAAGACTCCATCTCTGTTCCCCATTTGCTAGTAAATGTACAAAATCAGTTAGATATGCAGAATGTTTTCCTCCTAACAATAGCACCCACAAAATGACTCTGAGACAATCCAACATTTACCAGATTCCACATCACAAAACAAATAGGTATGGCAATAGTGCAATTCCCTCTCTGACAAAACTCCTGAACCAGAATTCCTTAGCAGCAATAATAACAATAATAATGTTATGTCCCCTTTTGTGTGTTTTTAGATTTATATTTAAACTGTAGATACATGAAGTTCTGTAATTCTTATTCATTTTAAATTCAAATTTTTCTTGTTGAATTTTCTTGTTGAATTTTCTAGTGGTTTTTTATTTTCTTGTAATAACCATGCAATTCAGCGTCCGGCTGCAAATTGGTCTAATAAAATATGAATATGAATATGAATATTTAGCCTTCCAATAACCTGTTGACCTTCTTCAATTTAAAGGTCGCTTTTCAAACAGTTGCCTTATATTCCCTTATCTATCACGAACTTTTAGTAATCTTGCTAACGCTGGCGTTGCTTCCAGAATATCATTTTCTTTTTTTCAAAAAATTGAGACCTTATCTTTACTGTGGTACCTGTTGTTTACAACTCTTTTTGCAATATTCCTTGATTACCATGCTCTATAATCTTGACTTTATTTTTTGATTTTTATATTTATTTATTATTATTATTTTTTTTTTTTACTTTTTTTCGAACTATTTCTAAATTCACCAATATTTATTTCCGGTTATTTTGTTCTTTTCATTCTTTCTTGGCCTTTTAAGGGCAACATGTCATGTCGTATATTCGGGATTACTTTCCCATAATCTCTTACCATCATTAAAGTTACTTTGATGGTTATTTAATAACATTACCTGACTTTCATTGATACAATGACTTAATTTCCGTAATACTATTTTTTCTAACATTACCTGAACAGGATTAGTAAAATTGACTTGGTTATACTCTGACTTACTATCTGTAATCAATTTGTCAAGAACTTTCAATTTTTGCTTGAATCATTTATGTTGTACAGGATGAATTATGTTTGTTAGCTAAACTTGATCCAGCCACCTTTTACCCATGTAAAACTAACCGGGGTTTGATGTACTGGTTTGTTTTGTGGACCTTGATTAATTGCCTACTATAAGTCCGTGTGAAAGCACTGCGTAAGTTATTTCAAATTAAGCCTTAGTATAGGTGCACCCAGTGCACTTGCTCAGTGTTTCCGGTGGTTTTGGTAATTAATACAATAGTTGTTATGAATTGTGTTAGCTTACTCTACTAAAGGAGGCGTCTTTCTACTATTTGGCCTTTCAACTTTGAGTTTTTCGATAACAACTCGTGTCGCGGGTGTCAAGTGCTGAGTCTACGTTTCAGACACCGTATCTTCTGAATATTATATGTATTTGTATACTAACTGCAACCCTTGGCATACCTTTCCAACGGCTAAGTTTATTTTATCCGTGTTGTAGGTTGTCTTGGGTGAGAGAAGCCAGCCTTTCCCCCTTCTGCACCCTGTTTTGTTCAGTCTTTCGTGTGTCAATTAGCTGAAACGGATTATCCCGTTCTTGCTGAATGATTCTACGTGCGTTTTGGCTATCCAATCTTTCACCCGTGCTTACAATATCAAGATTAACCTTGCAATCAAGGGTCATTACCTGATAGAGTAGGGAATTGGTTAAGCCCCTCGATACCCACATACCCACTGTACAATGTTCTTGTGCAACTACAAGTCGGCCATGCATGAATATCTTGTGAAAATTTGAATATGTCAAGCAGAAAATGGCTGCTGTCTTGTTGCTGGCACATACTTAAGCTTCACATGTCTCCCTTTACATCTTGGTTGTACAGGCTTCAGTGCTTTTTCCGTTTACTTACAGGGCGTCCTGAAAAAAATGGTGCATGTAAACCCCTCCATTTTTGCTAATTTACAACCAGGGGCGGCGGAACCGGGGGGGGGGGGGGGCTGGGCTGGGGGTACGTTTGCCCCCCCCCAGATTTTCCCAAGTGCCCCTTTTAAGGCCATAAATGTGCCCCCTCGATCATTAAAGTGTCCCCTCGAGATAAATAAAAAATGCCCTTAAAGTATCTTACTATTTCTTAGAAGTAACCTTTTCCAAATAATGTTAGAGAATTTTTTGATATAAACGAGGAATATGAAAACCAAGTCCTATAATCCATACAAGACGCCCTGAAAATTGGCACATAATGTATGTTTAGCATATAATCATTGGTTTTGAAGAGCGCCCCCTATGTTGAAAGATGGTACCCCCCCCCCCCCCCCCCCCCCCCCCCCCCATTTCAGCACGGGTTTGCAAGTGCCCCTTTTGGGTGCTCCCCCTCCCCCGTTTCAAACCCGTTCCGCCGCCGCTGTTTACAACAAACATTTTCTACAGATGTTTACACCATCGTCAAGATAATAGATTAAGCTTGAGAAGATCGTTTGTTTCATTGAGATAGCTTTTGAAAATCCAAAGATATGTTTGAATAACGGCAAAGCCAAGAAGCTACTTTCTGTGAAGCAGTTAAAATCAGTATAGTCCCAATCTAAAACCAAATCATTTTACTGTTAGTGAGTTTAACATTTTTAAGCAGAGTGTGCAATATTTATTTATATTTAATTGAACTCTTTCATTGAAGTTTTAAAAAGTGAACCTGTCTGTACTATTAAATCGTTTCAACATAAGAACAAAACCCTATATTGTCGTGTGAATGGAATGTTTGTCTTACACCCATAGGGATAATCTTATAAAAAGAGCCATGCTGGCATTGTCTGACCTTTGAAGCACTCGCTTCCTAAAAGTGGCAGAGAATGGTGTTTTGGGCTTTGCGGTTATTCAAACATTTCTCTGGATTTTCAAAAGCAATCTTAATTAAGCAAACGGTTTTCTCAAGCTAAATCTGTAACCTTGAAGATCGTGTGCTTACACGATCGTGTGCTTACACGATTTGCAGTAAATTCCGGTTGTAAATTGGCGAAAATGGCGGGGTTTACATGCGCCATCATTTTCAGGACACCCTGTATGATTTGCATTTTCATGATTATGTAACCACGTACTAAATGGGATTCAGCTTTCTGCTTTGTTCCCTGTGATTCTTTTTTAAGTGCCATGTACAGCTCACAACTCCCGTGCGGATGTGATGCACTATAAATAGAATGACCAGTCATCCATACATTTCATTAAGAGTTATTTAATTTATTTACAAATGTGTAAAAGACACCACCCAATTATAAATGATTTCCAAAGAAGTATAAAAAGGTGTGGTTTTGGGTGTATTAAATATACATGAAAAACACTCATATTTCTTATTTTTTTTCGCTGTATAGGTTCGTAACAAAGATCTTGAATTTGCAACGGAGGAGCTTTTTCGCTACTTCGGTGTTGAAAGCCACGAAAAAGGTATTGTGGCACAATTGATGTGGGCAACCGCGCTAAAACATCGTTTTATTTTGGTGCCTTGGAACCGAATATGAAAAAATCATGATTGTCTCTCGAAACATAGAAAATATAATTATTGCCACAAAAAATTTGCTTATACGAAGTATAATACATGTATTGGGTTTATTTGCAAAACTATTGAAGGTTGTCGCAAACTTTTGCGTCGTTTGCAAAACTATTTCGTTTCAGCATCACCATTTAGGGCCCCAACCCCCTTGCCCCCGCTCAATGTTGTCTCTCATTGCGCGGCGTGTGCTCCAATAGCTGGAGAGAACAACATTGACCGGGGAGCGGGGGAAAGGCCAAGGAAGTGTCCCAACCACTTTGGCGGGATTGTAGCTATTAAACTAAGTATTCCACAACGCATGACCACAATGCATTTCTTTGTGCACGCTCATTACATGTTGCAATAAGTTTGAAAGGGGTATTGTTGAGAGAAGTCACCTAAGAAGGTCATAGCACTGAAGAAGATAACAATTAAATTTCCTTTCTTTGTAGCCCCGGAATATGAGATTGTGTACCCACTCGTAGTCGAAGCTGAAGGCAAGAGGAGTGTTGGCAAGGGAGCCACTGCCGCCTCATTCTTAGAACTGGAAGTCGAAGCCTTTGGAGAGACGCTTAACCTCATCGTAGACCACGACGACAGTAATTATGCCCCTGGACTCAAGGTTGAGATCTACACAGATGAAGGCATCCAGAAAGTGCCACTTCGGACTGACTGCGTCTACACAGGGAAGGTAGCCGGTGAAAAGGACTCTCTTGCATCCGTAACCGTTTGTGACGGCTTGGTAAGTCATAGGCCTAGTGCTTCGGTGAATCCCATAGCTGCCACCAAAATGTTTGAAGAAGGGTATATAGTATCATTGATTGGAATAAGTTATGATATTTCCCAAATAAATAATGAAAGGAATTATTTCAAAAGTAAACCTTGTCTGGAGCCGACACCAAAGGTCTGTTTGCATGCCTTTTATTCGGTTGTTTTATTTTCTGAATGGTGTCTTTTTTGCAAGATGGCGGTCATATTTCGCAACCATGGCCGTGGTGAGCTTTACATCGAGCCACTAGATGACGAGGATGCCGTCAAGCGAGATGTTGGTCGCGGTCACCCGCACGTTGCCTATAGGAACAGACCAGTGGAAAGAGGGGCATTCTGCGAGACAGAACGTAATATAATTTATTTGATTTTGTTTTTATTGATCACACTTTTAAAACAAATTCCGCATGTAAGTCAAAACAATAAAGAACTCACATTTCTGACGCAGATCATTCATTCTGAAGCTGAAAACTGGAATGCTCAACTAAAGTTGTAATGACTCGAGTCAATGACTCGACTCGAGTCCGACTCGAGTCACATTTTTTTGGCGACTCGACTCGACTCGAGTCCCGACGGGTAAATGACTCGACTCGACTCGAGTCACGGGAGCAAATGACTCGACTCGACTCGAGTCCCTCATCACAATGACTTAACTCGACTCGAGGAAGGCTAATACGACTCGAGTCCCAAAATAAAAGCAAACCTTATTTGCGAAAAATATTTGCAATGACTTACGCCGCGCCGTTCGCGTTGCCAGTTTTTGTTCACGTCACATTATGTTCGCGAATAATGTACGCTCATATACAGCGGCCGTCTGTTTTCCTTCCTCCATAGTGATACAACAAACATACACCGTGTCGCGGACTCCCACCTTGTGGTTCTATACCTGTAGCATGTAATGCTAAACCCGAAACCAGACTTAAAACGCATTTCTCAATCCGTGGTTTTATCATTGGTTTCGGGCGATTTCTTATTAAGCTCTTGGTGGAACGCTGGCTAAATTTATTTCCCGATTTCACAAAACAAAATGGATACGGACGGGCCAACCTTTAAATAATCAGAAACAGTTTTGTATAATGCAATTTGTTGGTTTTGACGTTGTCAGGGATCAGCGAACAACAAAATCTAGACCCGAAGCCAAACCAGTTATAAGACCGAGGTTTCACATCTTCTTATCTGTGACGTGAGCTAGCAACTGTTGGTTGGGTACCATATAGCATACTTTATGTCTTTGGATTTTCGTAATAGACTGGTGCCTTGTATTCTTTCTCTCTTGTGTTTGTTGCTTTTTATTGTAATTTATAATATAGTGTTTGCTGACGAGCCGCCAGAAGCCTTGCCGATTGACACGAAGGCAACGAAATATCTGGAGCTGGCATTCATTTCCGATCCAGACTTAAATGTTCGCAAAGGGGGCACCAGCGCAACCACCACGTGCCTTAACGCCCTCTTCAACGCGGTGAGTATTCGTATGACAGTATATCAATGACAGAAACCTTGCTCAAAGCGAACATCAGATTGTTTGTTACCACTGAGAAGAATGTAGTAACCAACGCATAGCGTATCACCGACCGATAATGTCTCACACAAATTGACCGATGCTATAGCACTATAACCGATAATGTAAAAAACATTGACCGATGGTGTAGTAAATGTTGCCACACCATGGGTCAATTTATGTTACATTATCGGTTGGTGATACGTTATCCGTTGGTTACTACATTATCCAGCGTAACACCGTTATCAAACACCCTGCGAAATGATTCGGAAGAAAACTAAACCTGACGGATGTTTTGAAAGGGTGCCCGCGGGCAACTTTAAACGTGCGTGAGCGACGGATACCAGTTACCAGACATGTTTTGTTCCTGCATTCATATAAAGCAAAACTTTCAGCAGGATGCACCCTACCTAAACTTTGAAGCTATTGCTTCAAACGAAAACAAGTGCACAAAAGCAGTAAACCCTATACGTGCCTTTAAAACACTTTCCATTAATCAATGTGTACCTAGTGTGTCACTAAAGCATCAAATAATGTTGAAAAGCGGGAACTGTTGTGAAGAAAAAAGGTAGGCCTAAATAAAAAGGTCGGTTGGAAATAAGGGAAAATTGGCCTACATGTGCTTGAGCTTATACTAGTCTTTCATACCACATTGCGATACAGATAGTGGCCTTTGTTGAGTTATTTTCCTGCGCCCATTGGCGGCGTTTAATTGGCGTCATTATCTAATCAAAATGAATTTGAAGGCCAGATGCAGTCAGTTGACCAAAAAGGTGTTGCTCGACCACTCCCCCATTATCTTTTTGCTATTATTATTTTGTCGTCACCATTTTCGCCTTATTTTGGTACCTTTTGAGAAGGCTCTTCACATTGTGCGCCTACCATTGTTGGTGATGAAGGACGCATATTTACAAGTATTCTCTTAGCGATTTTTCCTCTTTGCTTTCTCATTCTTATTTATAATTAAGGTGAAAAATGTTTTGCGATTGAGTTCTCTGAGAGGAACTGCGCTGGTTCCCAGGCTGACGTACGTCAAGGTCTTTGGAGTACATGAGGTAGGTTTATGACGAATAAGCCTATACAAGTCATGTAGTTATCTCACAGCTTCACATGGAAGCGAGTCATGGAACAAATTAAAGTTGAAGTTCATATTGAAGAAGTTTATCTCTAATGAAGAATGGATTCGCTGAAGCCCATATGAAGTATTATTTTAATATTGCATCAAGTCTAACGTGTCCAGGCTACATTTATCCTTGGACTGAAACTGTGTTTCTTTGTATTGATATATGTTTGAACTTAACGAAAACAATAACGCAAGTTTTGCAAGGTAAAGTATAGTGTCTGCAACAAGTTTTTTATTTGGACTGTGGCTCACGTTTTAAACATATTCGTTTCTTGCCAATAATTAAAATATGCCCTAAAGAAAATGATAAAGACAAATGAAAGACAAGAGGTCAAGGCGTTTGTTGAGTTACAAACGCAGCGTGGTCGGGCCGACAACTATTTCATTAGACACAGCCCAGTTAAGGTATTGTCAAAACAAAGACCACGAAAATTTAACCTATCCAGTGCAACCAATGGTTTTGTTTAAAACAAAATGTTTTAAAACAATTTTTTTTTAAATATTTTTTTAATATGACGTCACATATCACGTGATGACGTCATCGTGACGTCACTTAAATTTTCATCCATAACACATCCCGGTTTAGGTGCATACCAAGTTTCAACACAATCAGACCTGTAGTTCTGTAGATATTGGCCTTCAAAATATTCAATTTTTAATATGACTCTCATGTCACGTGATGAAGTCATCGTGACGTCACTTAAATTTTTATCTGTAACACATCCCAGTCTCAGTACATATCAACGTTCATTCCAAACGGACATGCAGTTCTGGAGATATAGCCCAATCTGTGAGATCTAGCCGAATTCTGCTAGAAAATAGTCACAAAAGAAAAATCGCATATAATGTGACGTCACGTGACTCATGATGACGTCACGATGATGTCAATGTTCGGTACACAACTTCAGCTGCTGGTCTAAAGTGTATGCCAAGTATAAAGTCAATCGAATTGATTTCAGTGCCCAAAGTGAGGGTAACAAAAAACGTGTACAAATGATATGGGCAAACATAGGGCTTTTCCGCTTATTGAGTGGTCAGGCACAACCCGACCACTGTCTAGAATTGTTCTCACAAATCTTCTTTGTTGAGTGGTCGGGCACAACCCGACCACTCTTTGGATTTGTTGCGATTAATTGAGTGGTCGGGCACAACCCGACCACTCTTTGGATCTGTTACGATTAATTGAGTGGTCGGGCACAACCCGACCACTCTTTGGATCTGTTACGATTAATCTTTCTTTCTTTCTTTCTTTCTTTCTTTCTTTCTTTTTTTTTCCGGACAATACTTCTCCGCGGGTTTTCTCTTAAACGGTATATGGTATGAACTTGTAACTTTCAATATATATCGACCCTCATCCGAAGTGGTGCATATTACTCTGACGTCATGATTACGTCATCGGGTGTCAAATTACAAGTGATTTTATCTGAAAAAGTTACCAATTACTTTCACCTATAACTCTTGAACTAAACAATCAATGATGTTTGTGTTCTGTAATCAGATAGACCATTAATCGCTTAACAGTTTTTGTAGTGTACGTGAACTCGCTTGACCTTTACTTCCGGGTCTACCGGAAGGTCAAAGTTAGGTGAATTCAAAATGAAGACGTTAGCCTGACATCAAAACAAAGCAGCATTTCTTCCGAACGGTTCACGGTATGATCACAAAACCTTGTGTGAACTTGTACCATGTTACGAAGATGTTGTACATTTTGTTACGTCATCATGACGTAATCAGGTATCAAATTACAAGCGATTTAAGAGCAAACTTTGACAAAATAGTTTGTGTTATATCTTTTGAACTAAATAGAGTATCGTGTTCGTTTTTTCGTGAGGTTGTAGACTATGCCGTGAGAAACATTTCATGTTCCCGAACGCAAAACCGCTTGACCTTTACTTCCGGTGTTACCGGAAGTGCAATAAAAACTGAATATAACTCAAAAGCGGAAGCATTTCACTACAGACATATATATTATGAAAGTGTATAGTGAGGAATGCAAGACGCAAAAAACAGTGTGATGACGTCATCATCCGAAAGGGCGCCCCCTATCGGCACATAAAATATAGTTTCCCTTCTGTAATTGTAAAACCATCCGTCCAAATTTTACCAAATCGCCCCTTGACATTCTCTGATTTATCACAGATAAGGTGGCAAGGTTTCAAATTTATGACGTCACCAGACCGGAATTTACTTTAAGGAGAATTCGAAAATGATCAAAGTTTAAATTTATTTCTATCATTTGATCCCTGTCATATCTTCGAAGTCCAAATAATGATATCCATTACAATGTTCACCTTTGGATCTCTAATGCTGTGACGTCATCAAACAGGAAGTTAGGTGTTATAAATACGTCGTCAAACCGGAAGTTATGTGATATTAATACAAACAATTATATTTCCCATATTTTCATACGTTATTTAATTTTAAAATGACAAATTATCCTCTCCGAACTTTATCAGTATTCACTAACCATTTTTGACTGATGACGTCATCAAACTAGAAATAACTTTTTGTGCACATGGAATGTTTACTGAAGTTTATCACACCGTTAAAGATACCTTTTTGAAACATTGATTGTACTTAAAGGGATTTAATTTCGTGATCCTTTTTTCTACATATATTCCTAACTTAGCTGGGCAGTGTATAATGAGAAGGCTGTCCGCCCGACCACTCTGCGTTTGTAACTCAACAAACGCGAAACTCTAGTCTTTCTTTCTTTCTTTCTTTCTTTCTTTCTTTTTTTTTCCGGACAATACTTCTCCGCGGGTTTTCTCTTAAACGGTATATGGTATGAACTTGTAACTTTCAATATATATCGACCCTCATCCGAAGTGGTGCATATTACTCTGACGTCATGATTACGTCATCAGGTGTCAAA